GAATACCAGCAATACGAAAAAAGTTATGGCAAAACGAAGTGAGGACTATTTACAGATTGTGTTCGGCCTAAAAGTATGCTATAATTTTCTCTGCAAACCAGCAGCCAGTCATGAAGGAGAAGAAATTGCCGTTTTTAAAAAATACATTTTTGTGTGGTTTTTCATTTTTTGGTAATAGGTGCACAGCACCGAAGAGTAGGTATATTTCGGAACATCGTTGAATTCAAATGCAAATAACTCAGCGACTACTTAACCGATTTTCATAAATTTTGCGTCAATGTTTTGAGGGAATTCTAAAGTTTTATTACATATTGACAGTACATACATAAACTTATGTTACATAAGTGAAAATAATGATTATGTTAAAGCTCAAAGATTTTTGAAAAACAAAATATTTTTTTTTAAATTTTTGAGGATTTTTTGAGACATTCTCTCTAGTGTAATTTCTCCCTGGAAAATATTTGGAAAAAAGGAGGAATATAACATTTACATTAAATTGAACGAAAATATATATAGGAGCTATATCTAAATCTGAACCGATTTTTGCGAAACTTAGCACACATCATTATACCTTAAATACATTATACCATTTACCTTAAATCGGGCGAATATATGTATATATGGGAGCTATATCTAAATCTGAACCGATTTTTACGAAACTTAGCACATATCATTCTAGACTCAATTCAGTACGCAATGCCAACATTCTTGCAAGTCGAAAGATATGTAGGCACTTTGGCGCACCATTTACCTTAAATTGGACGAAAATATATATGGGAGCTATATCGAAATCTGAACCGATTTTTTACGAAACTTAGCACATATCATTCTAGACTCAATTCAGTACGCTATGCCAAAATTCTTGCAAATCGAAAGATATTTAGGCACTTTGGCGCACCATTTACCTTAAATCGGACGAAAATATATATGGGAGCTATATCGAAATCTGAACCGATTTTTACGAAACTTAGCACATATCATTCTAGACTCAATTCAGTACGCTATGCCAAAATTCTTGCAAATCGAAAGATATTTAGGCACTTTGGCGTACAATTTACGGACGAGAACATATGGAAGCTATATATAAATCTGAACCGATTTTCTAAAATTTCAATAGGGTTCGTCCTTGGGCCAAATAAGTGCACAAAGACATAATACCCTGTACCACAGTGTGGTGAAGGCTATACAAAATACAACACCCAAATCCTCAATGCGAAGAAGTAACGAATGCCATTTTTTTGTTTTTTTTTTTCGATTTTAGTCTTTATTTATTCATTTTTTTGGATAATTAAGAAACTGTAATTTCAATAAACTTAAATAATTTATCAATCTTCTCCTCCAATTGTTTGTTTTTTTTTTTGTTTTGTTTTTAATTCATGAAAAATTATGCTATTCACAAGTAAGTGAATTTGTTTTTGGTTTTTTTAAATTTTTGTTTTATACATTTAAGTTTTTTATTTTCGGTTTTTTGTATGTGTTATAATAAAATATGATTTTATTTTTTTATATGTTGTGTGGACAATCATATTTTTAATTTTTTGTATAAATTATATTAGGCATAACTTTTGGTTACTCTTTAGCTGAAGAGTTTATATTCGGTGTGAAAGTTGGTTTTTGGTTTCTCACACAGCAGAATTATTAGTATGTGGATGTTGTGTGCTCTTTTTTTTTTGCTGTTGTTGTTCACACATAAAAATGTCGTTTTTTGGTATAAAGCAAAGTTTTTTGGTTTGTTTTTCATTTTGATTTTTATGACATTTTTTTTGGTACGTAAAAATGTTGTAGTGAAAAATGTTTAATTAAGTTGTTTTTTTGCGTTTTTTGGTATAATTTATGAGTTATTTTTTTGATGAAAATGTTTTTGTTTTAATTTTATTTTTGGTTTTGAAAAAGGAAGCAATGTTTGCTTATTATTTTACAACAAAATTTTAATAACAAAATTTATTTTAGAGGTAACAAAAAAAGAAAAAAATCGAAGTTTTGAGAAAATAAAACCACATCAGAAAAGTTTTTTGTTTTCGAAACGTTGAAAGATATTTTAGAATTAGTAAAAATTGAGGGTTTTGGGTGGAAGTAAAAATGTTAGAAAAACTTTTTTGTTTACTTACCAGTGATAAAATAAAACTAAAACAAGAAAACCACAATGGAATCATTTAAACTTTCGTAAGGGGAGTGGAAACCTGTAATCTTTTTCAGTTTTCTGCTTGGAATGTTTTTTTTTATGTTTTCTTATTTTAGTAATATAAACATTTATGTTATTTGTTTTTTTTCTGTATACAATGAAACATTAGCTGTGTGTGATGACATCGATTAATACACAGAGATTTAAAAAAGAACAAAAAACAAATATATATTTTTGGGTGTTAGCCATTTCTGTACAAGAAAGTAATGCCGCCTATAACAATTTGTATAGGCTGGGTTGTTTGTTTGGATCTAGAGAAGCAAAAGACCCTAAAAATGTTATTTTTTTAGTCCCAGAAACCAAAATTCAAAGCTGTGGTAACATTCCTGCTTTCGCTCTCCGTCATTCTCTCTCTCTCTCTCTATGTAAAACAAAAGTCCTTTGAAATGTGTTGCATACTTTTAGGAGTAAAGTAATAAAGTTGATATTAAAAGGGAAATTGAGGGAAATTCTATGAAAGGAAGCTGAATTGAAGTTTTATTATTCAGCTGCTATAAAACTAAGCTGACATGGAAGATTATGCAAAGGGAATTTTATTTAGCAAGGTTAAATGAAAGATTTCCTATCAAAAATAATATTCAGCTAAACTAAATAAAAAATGTCATATAATAAATTTAATTCAGCTTTGCTTAATTTGCCGGTTACCTATAGATAATCTTCTACAACTATGCTAAAATAAGGATTACCTATTGGAAATCTTATTCAGCTAAGCTGAAGTGGAAGATTATCTACAGAAAATCTTATTAAGCTTAGCTATATTAAAAATGATCCACATCCAATCTTATTCAGCTGGGTTCAATTGAAAATTCAATAATTTAATGGTTAACTATGAGAATTTCAGATTACATTTAAAACATTTTATTCGACTAAGCTGAATTTGAATTTTGCCAAATCTTTAAAAGCAGATTTGAAATATATCATAAGCCAATGTTTTCTTTTATTATGAACAGTATTGAAAGGAGGAAGTCCCATTTTAATTACTTAACATTTCCCATTCCTCATTGAAAATTTTTTAAGGTTATAGAAAGGTTAATATAAAGACGTTAAGACAATATCCTAAACAAGAACCTCAAAACTGCATTTCTATAAAATATGTTTTTTATAAAACAAAAAACGTTTTTTAGTTCTTCTTTTTTATATAAGTTGTTTATTTAAGGATTTGTTTAGCAGGTTTTATGAATACTCATAATTGATAAACGTAATAGTAGAACATTTTAGAAGAATGCAAATTTGGTTATATTTTGAATTTTTTCCTAAATAATGAAGTGAGGCTGACTTTTGTTTTGGTTGGTTTTAAATTCCATACTTTTCTCTTCTATACTTTTTTTGGTATTATAAAATAGATATATAAGAATAATACAAAAAAGACGGCATATATATATATATATATTTTGTTTTTGGTTAAAAGGAGATAACAAAGAATGGTGATACAAAAACAACGTAGAGAAAACGACGACGACGATATATTTCACATAGCTATTTGAAAAACACAACAAAAACAATTTTACGTAATTACAAACGTAAATAACTGGTTTATTTAGGAATTTTTTGGTTTCAAATAAAAAAGAAAACAAACGAAAAAAATTGAAATTGATAAATTATGCCAAAAATATAAAAAGAGAGGAGGAAGGAAACAACAGGTTAGAAAAGAGGATGACTGCCATACATATGTATAAATTATATATAAAAAACACTATATTATAATAATTCATTCATTCATATTCTCTCTTCTCTGATTGGGCATGAGAGCGAATTTTTTCCACACACAGAAAAAGTTGATTTTTTTTTTTTTTTTGAAAAACAGGAAGCATATTTGTTCGTTCTACTCTCACTTCTTATTCTTGTTCTTCCAAAACTAAATTACAAAACAGGGAAATAAAAGAAAATCAATTAATATTTTTTTTGAGTTTTTTTGGTTATTATAAAAAACAAAATGAAATTATTTATTAAAAAAAATAATAAATAATATAATGCTCTGCCTAACAAAAAAAAATACATAAAATGATTTGAATTTTTTGTTTTACGAATTTTTGTTGTTTATGTATAGTTGTTTTTTTTTTTTTTTGCAAACAAAGAAAAAATGTTTTAGTTAAAAAAAATATACAATAAAGAAATATATTTTCAATATAGATCATAAAAACCGTGGATTTTTATTATTATTTTTGTTGTTTTGCACTTGTTTATTGCTAATTGGTTGTTATTGTAGCTCTTCTTCTTCGGGTTGTTGCTGTTAAGACTTTTTTGGTAGAATAACTAACGAAACAAAACCAGGAAGGAAGGAAGGTAGAAAGAAAGGAAGAGTTGTTCTTTTTTTGGTTAAAAAAAGTAAAGAAGCTAGAAAAACGAAAATACCACCTATTTTAGAGGAAAAACCAAAAGGGATCCACCCTCAATATCTTTCCCACAACCTTGTTTCAGGGCACCATTCTAACTTCTGGCCATTCTAACTTCTTTACTTTTTCGGCTTCCTTTTGTTTTTCTTTTCATTCTTTCCTTCGATTTATTTTTGTTTGCTTGTTTGTTGGACGCATTGTTCCTCTCTCTCTGTTTGCTTTTATTATTAATTTTGAATTTACAAAACATCAGGATGTTGGTTGTGTTATTTTTTTTTAATTATTTTTTTAAATATATATTATTTTTCATTGACCATGTTTGTTTTTATTTTATAGCTGTTGTTGTTGCTGTTTTGTTGTCTGGTGTTGTTGTTGTAGAAGATCCAAGACTGTATTCGGGAGTTGTTGGTTGTTTTTATTTAAAATGTGTGTTTTGTGTTGTTGTTGTTATGCTTTGAATTTTAATTTAAAATATTTTCTTGCTGAATTTATTTTTTGTTTATGTGTTTTGGATTTTCTTCTCTTGTTTAAAAATATTTAATTTTGTTGTTGTTGTTGGTTTTTCTTCATAGTCATTTTAAAAAGGAAACAATTTAGTTTGGTTGTTAGTTGTCACCACCTTCTTGTGGTTCATCGCCATCACCCTGGGTGTCCGATGTCCAGAGGGTAAGGTTGTCTCTCAACAATTGCATGATGAGTGTTGAGTCCTTGTATGAATCCTCGTTGAGGGTATCCAGTTCAGCTATCGCATCATCGAATGCCTATGGTTTGCAAAAAATTCAAATATTTTAGTATATGATTTTTTTTAAATATTAAAAATTATTAACAAAAAACAAAAACAACAACAAATATATATGTTTATAAAGAAATATGTAGCAATTTTTTTGTTGATAATATTCGAAAAAAATTAGTAGTAATGGTTTTGTTTTGTTAAAGTAAACAAATCAAATTATTACGAACCACCTAACCTCAAAATGAACACTCCTTTTTTGTGTCTATTTTATACAAATTTAAAAACAATAATATAAAAAACTAAGAGCTTAATCATAAAAGATTGTGTTGTTGAAAATCAAAGTTGTTGTTTTGCTTGTTTATTTGCCAAAATATGTCAATTAAAATTAAATTAGCAGACAATATTAAAAACACTACATTATTATTGAATTGACAGACGTCAGCAGTGAAGAATTCCCTTTAATATAAAATGACAAGTTAACGGAATGTGTGAGAAAGCTGTTTATAGGGATCAATAACAACGGAAACGAATGTGATTAAATTGATTTATAGATCCCTAAAAGTTGTCTTTAATAATAAATATAAATAAATAAATTAAATAATATTATACGTCAAGTAAATCATTATGATGAGAAATTTAATTAATTTAAATATATCCATAACCTGAATTTGTAAATCACATCTTAAAAGGGCTTTTAAATTATTAGGGAACCACCTAACCTCAAAATGAACATTCGTTTTTTTTTAGTAATTTTTATACAAATTTCAAAAACAATTCTATATAAAATTAAGAGCTTTATCATAAAAATGTGTAATAAATTGTATTCTGTTTGGTTTTAGTAGAAAATTTCAACCTAACCTAAAAAGGATATGTAAAAATGATTGTGTCATATATAATGTTCTAAATAAATATAAGCATTCTCCTGTGTTCCACCATACTAATGAAAGGCATATTTTTCATATACCCACTGAAATTACTAAACTTTTTTAGTTATTGAACCTAACCTCGAAAAACTTAAAATAATTGTTTTGTATATTTTTGAGTTTTCTTTTTAATATAAAATCTCTTAAGATTTGCATATAGAATAACAAAATAGTGTTAAAAAATTAAAAAAACATTTCAATTTTGAGGTTATAATTTTGTTTTGATTTGTTTACTTATTTTATAAGAAAAAAGAAATACTCAACACGTTACATCATCAAAGAGTTTTGGAATTTTCAAATTTGGATATCATTATTGATTGCTTCAGGTGTGTGGTGGTGGGAGTAGTGGTAATTCAAAAAAAAAAAAAGGCAGAGACAGGGCCGCGACAAACCCTCAGGATTGATTGTTTACACATTTAGAACCAATAGAATTGAAAATGTTGTTAGTAAACACACACACATACAATAAAACATGCATATAATAGAAAAAACTTATTGGAATCTGAAGGGGTCAGTGGCATGTTATAGTGGGTTTGATCGGTTTCCAAGATTCCAAAACAAGTGGCAAGCAGTCAAAAAATATCATCAGCAGCGCATTAAAAAGGCATCACATCTTTGTTTGGAAAAAGAGTTTTGGAAATACGATTTTCTTTTAACTCATTGTTGGGTTAGGTGGTAATATTGAAATAGACCAGCAGGGTGTTAGACTAATAAACTACAGTATTTTAGGATTTTGGTTTCGAAACGGTTATGAGAAGTAGGCTCGGTTTTTAGATTTTATATTTTAATTCCAAAGGATCAGGCGGAGGCAGGCACGCACATAGAATTTTTTATATTTACGCCCAGCAAAAAAAAAAGCTTTTTGTTTTTGGTTTTAAAAATAATAAGAAAAAAAAACAAATTGTTTGAAAATAAAAAATATTGAAACCTGTTTAGCTAAATGACAGGCCCGCGCTGGTGAATTGATAATTTCATAATAGAAGACGGAAAAGTTTAGAGCAAGACCTAATCTGATGGGATGTGTGGGCTGCATTTTTGTTTTGGCAATATCGAAGGCCTCCTGATAGGCCTTTTTCGAATCTTCAACCACGGCTACAAAAAAAAAAATAATTCAAAGAAAATATATGTGTTAAAAGTGAAACATATAAAGAAAAGGTTTTAAGATATACGGAGGAGGAGAAGTAAAATAAAACAAAAAGGAGATCAAAAAAAAAAAAAAAAAATAAATAATGGTCCTGGTCTAGTACCATGGAAGTCTAACACAAATATTAAAAGAAGGTATGTAGTTAAGAAAAATAAATATTTGACTCCCCAAGAATCAGAATTTCCCATGATGATGTTGCGTGTTTTTGTTTTTTTTTTTATTTTCATTAGGTTTGCTAATATTTCTTTATATTTGTTGTTGTTGTTTTAGACAAAAAACATCATATTAACCTGTTTGGCCAATTGGCAAGCTTTGTCTGGAGAATTCAGAATCTCATAGTAGAAGACTGAGAAATTAAGTGCAAGACCCAATCTGATGGGATGTGTTGGTTGCATTTTACCCTTGCTAATTTCAAATGCATCCTGGTATGCGGTTTGGGAGTCGTCAACAACGGCTATAAAATTTGTTTTATTAAAACATTATTATGGGTGTCATATGGGATTTTCAAAAACATTTTTGGTTTTGGGTTGAGAAAACACAATTTTGTTTTTATAATATGGAAAAAAACAACCATTATTAAAAAATGAAATATACTTACTGTTGCGGGCATCTCCTGTGGCTACTTCAGCTAAATACCTGTAATAATCTCCCTTCATTTTCAGATAGAAAACCTTACTTTCTGGATTGCTAGCTTTAGGAATAAGGTATTTGTCAAGAAGACCCTGGAATGGAAAAAAATAAGAAGAATTTAATAAAAAAAGTATAAAAATATGTTTGAATATGTCTTTAAAACAAATCATGATTTATTCAACATAACCTCAAAAAATTTAAAAGACTTTGTAATGAAAAATTTTATTGTTTCGAAAATCACGCCTTAAAAGGGCTTTTAAAAAAATACGTCTTAATGGTATCTAAAAAATCCAATCTTGGGTGAGCCTTTAGAAAATTGTGTTGTTAGAAAATAAAAGTTGCTATTTTGCTTGTTTATTTGCCAACATATGTCAATTAAATAAATTTTAGCAGACAATAATAAAACACTGCATTATTGCATTGAGAGACGTCAACATTAAAGAATTGCCTTTAATATAAAATGACAAGTCAAAGGAATGTGTGAGAATGCTGTTTATAGGGATCAAAAACAACGGAAACGAATGTGAATAAATTTGATTTATAGATCCCTAACAGTTGCCTTTACAAAGACATAAAAGTATAAAGATAGGACAATTGATACGTAAGCAATTTCCAACAGATGGCTTTTCCTCTGTTGTTACGATATCATAACAACAGAGAGGACAATATTAAACGTTTTTAATGATATATCTTAAGCTTATAAAATGAAAATACATATTTTGGGTGCAGGCCTCTAATTTTATTTACATTTTATTCACACATTTTCGCGTATTGGCGTTTTTATTCTTAACATGCCTCTGTTAACCTTGATTCCCCCTGGATATTTTTTCATAAACTATTTTGCCAAAATGCATTTTGTCGAGTCTTTACGGTTTCTATGTCTTTGGCCTTTAATTTACACAGGTTATATTTTACGCCCTATGTAATGTCAAATTTATATTTATCCGATGGATCTTTAAAAAAGTCTTCTTCTAAAAATCGATGCTTGGATGCGTTTTTTTTTACTCCACATTTCCATAACTGTCAAACTTCCCAAAATCGAACCACCATTATTCCGAAAAAAATCGAATTATGGGGAATTTATGTTATGGGCTTAATTATAATTTGCCGCCCTAGTGGTACTATAACCACTACATGAGCTCCGACTTTAAAATAATATTCGACTTATAGAATTTCGAAGGTATTCTAATTGCCAGTCTAATAAATTAATACAAAATCAGAAATAAAAGATATTATTTCAAATCGGTGTTTCTGTTTTCTGTTTCATTAAAAAATATTTATGGAAATCCGTTTTTTCATTCCCATTCCTTGTTATAAAAATAGAATTAAAGGATAACATTCTATTACAACAACCACCAACATCCCCCTATTACTGCGTTGTTGTTACAAAAATAGCGTGGTGGGATAGGGTTGGGGTTTCAATTTCAGGGTCCTTTCTTCTCTACTACCTCGTTAATATGCATTTTTTAAAATAGATTTATTGATTGAAAACGACACCAACAACAAAAAAAATAAAATAAAAATCCATCAACTAGTTAAAGAGTTTAACAGAAGAAGAAGACAGTCATCAGGTGGTAAAGTCCTCACAAACAGGTATATATATCGATATCTATACAAGTACATATTTGATATACATACAGACCCACCCCACCAACATGATTATATTTACACATACACAGAGCAAGCTGTCAGTCAGTCAGTCGTGGTACACGCTTCGAGGGGGTGAAGAATAACGATGAGTGGAAATTAAGTTTACTCTCCGGGGAGCATAATATTATTCATTAAACCACCAAACAAAAAAGTAAGGTTATAAATAGTGTGAACATCACACACAAACACAGGCCACACTTTATAATCAGCAGTAGTTTATTTGTGTGTATAAGTTTGTATTTATGTGCGTTGATAATCAACACACCACAAATGATCGGAGAACAAAAATGTGCAGATATAATTAATTTGTTCTAAAACCCCCTCACCCCAAACACTGGACATTATCTGTGTATGTAAACAATATTGGTACTCCCTAAAAGAGGTGTCCGTTATATTTTTTTGGTATTTTATTCAATACTTTTTAATTATGTCCCCTGCTAAAAGGGCAAATTTCCTTCTAGCGAACATCCTTTAAAATTTTAAGACTAACTAAAGCGCTTTTAGACATATATGTCAAATCAAGCTTGATTTGACATATAAAATTAAATCATTATTATGTCAACTTGTTTGAAATCCATAAAAAAATATTAGCTAATTATTGTTCGATTTACAAATCAAGTCCATAATTGTTTTGCTTGTTTATTTGCTAAAATATGGCAATTAAATAAATTTTAGCAGACAAAAATATAAATTCTTCATTCTACATTGACAGACGTCAACATTAAAGAGCAACTTTTAATATAAAGTGACAAGCCATAGGAATGTATGAGAATGCAGTGTATATAGGATAGAAATTTATATATGTACGAAATAAATTAAAGAATATTATACGTCAAATTAATCATTATGATGGAAAATTTAATTATTTTAAATATATTCACATGACCTAAACTTTTAAATATAGAATTAAAATTTATTAAATTTTTGTTTAAATGTTTTAACTTACCAAAACTTCATAACAGATTTCCCTAAGTTCCTTCTCCACGCGTTCTCTGTACTCGCGGGCGAGTTGTTGTTTTCTGGCGGAGGCTTCGGTTTTCTGCTCAATGGAGGAAATTACTCTCCATGATGATCTGGAAAATGAAATAAATACACAAAAATAAGTAAACTGATAATCCAAAATAGTATTAATATATTTTCTAAATAATAAATAGATTAATAGAAAATTAATCTTAAAAAAAATTAATAAAGCTCTTATTAAAAATAATCTGGCTGTATCTAAATTGATCAACGTGAGATTTACACAGGAGGTCAATTTTTATTGTCGAAATTCTATAGTAATATGGATTTAATTAAAAAGTTTCTATTACATATTTTAAGTAATATTTAGGCCTTTAGTAAATATAGACGATTTAAATTGCCAGTTTTATTAAATATATTTAAATAAGTCTTCATAAATGAGGTTTAGGCGGCTAAACGTTCATATATACATGCCGCTTAAATTCATATTATTGAGATTTACACAGGACAAAATTGTATTGGCGAAATTCCTAATTTTTTTTTGAGAAAACAAAAGTCAATTAACGTGGCGTACGCAATGGAATTGACGTTTGAAATCGAGTTGATTTAGTAGTATGAACACGTTCTTAGTATTTCTGGCTTGGTTATATGATTTAATATACACTACATCTTGTCACACAATCTATGACAAGTTTCTAGACCTCCTACAAATCAAATTAAGTACAGTTACCTATATTATTAATCATTAACATAATTTTTGGTGATTTTAAAAAATAATAACAACAACATACCTGCGGGCACCAACAACATTTTTGTAAGCAACTGATAGCAAATTTCTTTCTTCATTTGACAGTTCAACACCGGTTTCTGTGACTGATTTCATAGCTTGAGCCATGTCATCGTATCTGAAATATGCAAGAAGAAGATAATGAGAAAAACAAACAAAGCATAAATTTAAATAACAATAACATGTGTCAACGAGACAAATCACAATGTGTCTAAAAATAGAATAAACAGTGAAAATAAACCTGTTCAAGTTCTTACCTTTCGGATTGTTCGGCCAATTTTGCCTTTTGGACCAATTCCTCTTTATCGACTGTCGACATTTTGATGTGTTTTTTGTTTTTGCTTTAACTTAGAAATTTAAAAGTTTGTTACTTTGTGTAATGGGTAAACGCTTGCCCACAACTTTTATTTGTTTGAATACAGTTCGCGCTTAGAGAGATTATAATGTAAGGAATCTAAAACTGAATGCGTCGCTCACAGTATGACTATCTGTAAAGAAGAATTGAAAAAAGTAATAAAATTAGTATAGTAATATTTCAAATATATTTAAAATTTGCAAAATATGTGTAAATACTGCAAAGGTTTTGCATAATTCCAGTAATATATTTTAAATATTTTTATTTAAAGTTTTTTGTCTTTAAATATATTCATGTATATAGTTCGAAATCATTTCAGGAACGTGTATATTTTATTAAATGTATGTATGTGCACCGTCTTTATTTCAAATGTGTATGAGGTAATTTGTTATTTAAAAATATTTATTGTTTGGCCGTTTCCATTACGCTTTAATAATAATAATATTATGATTAGTCATATTATGACTAAGCATGTCAAGAAAAAATAAAGTCATTGAACTTGAATTTAAGCGATAATACATAAACATTTATGTAGTGCAATTTGTATGTAATTTATTGCAAGTATCACAAAAATTCTAAATAGCCTTTTAAACACATTTTCACCACACAATATTTAGTAACACAAAATGTTGACATCCGTCGTTGACAACCAATTTTATCTAAGCAAAATATCTAAACGCATTGTTAAGTGTTTTTTAACATAAAATATAATAAATTATGGCCAACTTATTGTGTAATAATTTATTTCCTATTTATATCACATCGGACTGAGTGATCCCTAACTCATCGCGATTCAGTGAAGTTTTAGAGCTAAAGTAATTTGTTGCATTAAAACAAATTGAACTAAAGTCCAATCTAACAATTCATTCATTTATTTAAATCTCTTTTTTCTTTAGTTTTCTTAAAACAACGTAAAATATAAGAAACTTTGTCAAATATATCACAGTAATTCTTTTTCTTTATGTCTATGAATCCTAACTAGTGATCCCTAATTCATTGATCATATGACATATTTCTCAAAGAACGATAGAAAATAAACATGCTGAAACAAGTTTATTCATTTCCCTTATTACACAAATTGAATTAAGAAACAAAATTAATTATTAAAATATCTAGCATTGCTTTCTCTCACTCCACCGCTCTGATCCACCCCTATAAATAAATTCAATTTGATGCAATAATAACACATAACAATATGATGACTCAGGCCCCCACATTGCATTATTTTGCTCTGCATTGTGGCAACGCTATAACATTCTATTCTTTTGCTCCAAAATTGTTGTTATTGTTTTCCCACACTCACATTAAAAAAAAAACAACCAAAGCAATAATTGTTAATTGTGTGTTTAATAGCATTATTAAAACAATTTTAATTTACAAAATAAAGGCATGGCCTTTAAGAAGATTACAAGAACAAACAACAAGAAAAACTCACACACAAGTGTCAAATTATAAATGTGAAGGTTGAGAGACATGAGTGAATGGCTTTCTAACAGCCACATAACCTTTGCATGCATCTCTCTATCTCACACACACTCTGCTCTTATTAAATGTCATTGCTGCTAATCATGTTAAGTTAGCTGTAAGTGTATGACAGTTATTTGCAACGACGTATGGCAGTCAGGCAGGCGGCGTATTAAGGATACGGCGTTAAACTAGATTAATTTAAATTGTTTTACAGAGAAGTTAATTTCAAAGAATTTTATATAATACCAGGTTTACACTACATTCAATTATTATTTTTTATACATTTAAAACCCAATGCAGACAAAATTAACTGAAAGTAAAGAAATCCATTAAACACAAATCTTGTAGCCTGACTTGGAATAAAATTAATATTAATGGAACATATTATTTTTCTTAATGAAAAAACGACATTCCTTGGCCCTTAGTATTTATGTTGACATTCAACTCTATAATACAAAAAAATGTTAATTTTAACATTGGTGTATTAAAAGGTGACACCAACGTTTTTTTACGCGCAGCATATACCAAAAAAGGGAAAATAGATCTCCACCACATTACGCCCACATTATTTTACAAAAATAATGGCATGTAGAGGAGTTCGGTTCGTACGTTGGATGACAGTTCACACACACACACTCAAACATAAAAGCCCACTTGTTGGGTATTGCTGGTACTTTTTTAGCCTGCAGCAGCAGCTTCTTTCATGCGTACGTGCGTGTCGTAAAATTGTGTAAGTATGTATATACGACTGTGGCTGCACAAACGCCTTCATCCATGCATAACACATCTATAAATATTTATATATAGGTTTCACATAAATCCCAGTGTCTTCATTTTGTTTTCTCTTCTATGAATTTAACCACCCACTCCTCCCCCTCCAGCTCCAGAATTTTTTTCCAGCATCCCATAAGGAGGGTATTATAGTACATACATATACATATGTAAACTATATATATGTATATAAAACGGATGATTGGATACACGGATCATGGCTATGACACATAGACGACAGACAATAGGATACAGAAGAGATAGACAAGAATTAGGCAGGCGACTTATGGGTGAAGTTTATATTTAAATTGTCTTCTTCTTCGCCTTAAGAAAATAAATTTCATTAAGACGAATAAAATTTATTTCTTTTTTATTATACATACAAAGATAATGTGGTTGGGATGCAGCATATGCAACATCTTTTTTCTAGATGGTGTATGTATGCATGAAGAAACATGCGTTTTTCCGTCTGTTGAATATGGCCATAAACAACAAGACAATAAATGAAAGTGGGCGTAGTGTGTTTTTTGGTTTATTCTCACACATTTTTCAATATATATATATATATTTATATAGTATATACATATGTATATTTTCTATATAGGCTATTAGGATTCTCTTGACAACAAGACAAAATGAAATATAAAAGTCCTCACAAAAGAGACATTTGAAATGAAGTAACATAATTTAGGTTTATAGGGTTCTATAGTTTCGGGAAATAAAAATCTGAAAGGAATATTTTAAATAAATAATAGTTAGGAAAAAACTAAGGATACATTTACACAAAACGTGTTTTACGAATATGAAAACTAAACTATTATTTATAATTAAAAACTTCAGGTGTGAATTAAGGTAATTCTAATCGTTTTATATTTTATTGAAAGCTTATAGTACATTTACATTGCAACGGAATTGGTTAAGCCAATGAGTTTTAATTGTCAATTCCATTCCACATATATATGAAATAAATCTTCATAGAGTAGGTTAACCCTGTACAAATTTTTAAAGTACATCCCGTTTATGCTTTTTGAAATAAAATACAATTGGTTTATAAAAATATGGAAATTTGTGACACATCTCACATATTTAGAATAAAATAATGTAAGATCTAAATTTGACACATGTAAAAAAATTACTTATTTTTTTGTGGCAGATTCGCATATTTTTACGGCAGGAATAAACCAACAAAGGCAGTTTTTATTATATCCGCTTTTATAGGGCTCTATAGTGTTGAAAAGCAACAGTTGGAAAATTCGTAGAAAATAATTTTTTTAATAAAACAAAACCAAATATATAATAATTTACAGCAAAATGACACTAGGAAAAGACGACAACTGTCACTAATAAAACTTTCGTATAGAAAAATGTCACTGGCGACAGGCTACTGTCACTGATAATAGTAATTGCTTATATGAAAATTCCATCAGTGATATTTTCGAATATAGAAAATTTTTTCGATGATATTTTTCGTATATAGACAAAATTTCAATATATAGAAAAAGTCATTGGTGACTTCTCATATTAGAAATATTGTCATAAATGGTCATGATTTTTAAAGAGGAATATATCACTGGTGATTTTCTTGTATTCAGACAGCTGTCATCGATTTCAATTTATCATGCAACAGAATATTCTAGCTGATGCAAATTTACTGGGAAAAACTGTCACTGGTGATAAATTCGGATGGAATTGTCACTTTTTTATGGAGATTACACTTTTGTTTCTTATTCAGACAGGTGTCATCACTGATGCGGATGATTTTCAAGGAGAAATGACATTGATGATAAGCTTTCTGTAGATATTTTTTTTACTAATTCGATAAACATTTTAAAGAAAATTCCTTGATTTAAATGTAATTTCATTCCATGTGGAAAAAGAAGTACAAAGACAGGCAATGAAAATTGTGAATGGAATGGAAAGAAGGGTGGGGTGTGTGGTGGTGTTAGGTTTGGTTTAGGTCTTTGACAAGAAAATTGGAATTCCTTTTCAAAATGTCAATAACACGCACACACACACGTTCACTCACAAACCAAGAGCAGCAGCGCACCACTTGAGGTCATAGCTGTTGAAAGAAATTTTCTCGATACTCATAGAAAAGTGTATGAGGAGAACAAAAAAGGAGGCGATACAAAGGATGAATTCCTTAACAGCCTTTCTTTTCTTTTGCAAAAGAAAATTATAAAATTTAATAGTATGTATGTGTTTTATGGAAATTACCTTTTTTAGTTTGGTTATTTGGTTTTTTCTTACAAAATATAGTATGTATATATTTTTTATTATTTTGTGCAATATTTTTTAATTCTTTAGCACCATTAAGAAGAAAAATTTCTTTTATTGTTTAAACATTTTTTTAAAAAATGTTTTTTTTTTTTTTTGGTTTTTGTTGTAGTAGTTGTTGCAGCAATTTAAACTAACTAATAATATTATTTGTTTAATAAAGACGGAATGTATACTTTTGTTATTTGTTATTTGTTATTTATTTAATTATCCAGTAATACAAAAGCCTTCATGGCCAAAAAAATATATTACATAGTTAATAAACCTGAAATAATTTTAACATTTTACTATTATTCTATTATTGGCTCCCCAGCCTTTATTTACATTAAACAATTTTTTAAACAGATCTACAGTATTAAAATTAATTGGCAAAACATTACCCAAGTTTCATATTGATGCTTCGGACTAAAAACAGTATCTTGAGCACACACACACAAGTGCATTCTAAGTTTTAAACGGAATGCATTGTTAGAGTGTGAGAATATGCGCAATTCTATAGGTAAATAGTTCCAGCATCGAGCAACCCGAACAACAAAACATCTTTCGAAACACAGATTATGTATATGTGGTATTATTAATTGGGTATTTCTACTTGAGTGAGAGAAAGTAAATAAATTA